GTTCCAGTTTCGTCGAGATCCTAATCGGCGGACTTGGAAATTACAGAGCGTGGATCTTAGCGCTGCTCTACGGATACTCGTACGGCGTCGAGCTAACGACGGACAACGTGATCGCCGGATATTTCTACGAGAGATTTGGAGTGAATCTGGAAGCGGCGGGGACGATCGCGGCGAGTTTCGGGATATCGAACATTGCGTCGCGACCGGCGGGAGGGATGATATCGGATGCGCTGGGGAAGAGATTCGGTATGAGAGGGAGGCTGTGGGGGCTATGGATCGTGCAATCGGTGGCTGGGTTGTTGTGCGTGTTACTCGGACGAGTCAACTCGCTCTGGGGATCAATCCTCGTCATGTGGGTCTTCTCTGTTTTCGTTCAAGCTGCTTCTGGCCTTGTATTTGGCGTGGTCCCTTTCGTCTCCACGCGGTTAGTTTAAAGTCTACCAATCCGGTTTTTGCTAATAATTTCGGTTTGGTTTTAATTTGGTTTTGTTTATAATGACAGATCGTTAGGAGTGGTGGCGGGAATTACGGGAAGCGGCGGTACGGTTGGTGCGGTGGTGACGCAGTTTCTGTTGTTTTCCGGTGATGATGTTCGAAAACAGAGAAGCATTTCACTTATGGGTTTGATGACTTTTGTGTTTGCTCTTTCTGTTACATCAATTTACTTTCCACAATGGGGTGGAATGTGTTGTGGGCCTTCGTCATCTTCCGAAGAAGAAGATATTTCTCGGGGACTCCTTGTAGAAGACGAAGATGAAGAAGGTAAAGTGGTTAGTGGTAGTCTACGTCCCGTTTGTTGATGCCGCATTTGAACTGCTGGCCCATTTGGCCAAAGCAAAAGCAATAGCAAAACATTAGTATACTACTAATAAGGACGAATTTGCTGTTATCAAGTTAAAGAGTCTATCAATTTTTTTAAATATATATATATGTTCTTGTTTGTGTTGAAATTCTCCTTCCATAAACAACACTAGAGCTGACAACATTGCAAAACAAGACATAATTAGTTTGTATCCTTTTTGTATCTCTTGTAACAATATAGGCAAAGTGACTCTGACAAATCACAATCGTGTTGATGAGCTCATTGTGAGTTTCTTTCTTCCTCTGTTTCTTTTCTTGTTAAAAAAGAACAAATAGCAAGAAAATTAAAGTAGATCCTTCATCATTCAAAGCGTACGTAAGATTACCAAGAGTTTCTACGTTTGTACTACTTGTGATTTCATTTGTAATACTAAAGATAACGAGTTTACATAGAAACTTACACCATTTGGTAAATGAATAGAAGCCACGGGCCACGGCGTTGATAAAACATGGACGGTAGAGAAAGAGCTCAGCAGGGGTGACCTGAGAACACATGAAACGAGAGCTGTAACAATGACGTAGCGTCGTTATAGCCGTTGATTGCTCGTGTGTTCTCATATCAACCCTGTCGAGATCCACTACCTTAACAATATTTATCTATCTTCTAAACCAGTAATAAAAGGACTGTTACAGTTTGAGTTTCGATATCCTTCAAATCTGCTGAGAGCTACTATATATACACAACACAACAAATGATGAAAGGATTGTGTAGTACACAATATTACCACACAAATTGTAGTACACAACACAACACAACAAACGGGCCAACGATTTGTTGCATTCATATACGTTTTCTTTAGTACAATAAAAAAAACCTACAGAATTGTGTACTGCGAAACTGATTTACAAAAAAATCAACATTGTACTTCTCTGACAGTAGTACAAAGGCGAGTTTTGTACTAGTTGGAACGTCAAAGAGGTACTAGGAAGTGTTCCAAAGATGCCCTCACGTGTTTGTTTATTATTTCACACTACTGTGATATTTATTTCACGAACCAGTTTTCTGTAAATTTTGAATTCTGTTAAAAAAATAGTTAACGAAAAGAATAAAATAATAATTTGCTGGGTAAGAATTGGACCGGGCTTAAAATATCCCAGTGGGAAGTGTTCGCTTTAAGAAAAAATCAGAGAGAGAGGCCCACTTCACCAGCTCTACTCATTGATTTTACACACTCACCAGCACCTCTATTTCTTTCTCACTCTCCAAGTCTCCTCTGTGAAAGCTGAAAGCTCATCTTCTTCCACGTGATTTGTCTTCCCGATCACCAAACCTTTCCGGTAATTACTCTCCCTTGCGTTCGACGCCATCTTCCTTGGAGTTCTCTTCAATCAACCGGTAAATCTTCCACTGATTTTGAAGAAGATTCTTCCATGTTCGATCTGGTTCGTCTCCAGAGATCGAGAGTTGAATTGCCTCGAAACAGCTCTAGTTTCACCAGAGACGCGCGAACGATAGAAATAAAGAGACTCGAAGCTGCGTGTACCGGAGACGAATGGCGGGAAAATTGACTTGAGCGCGATTTTCTGTGTGGATCCAAAATGAAGAAGAAGGTGTCTCAGCAGAAGTTACTGTACAGATGGAAGAGGAAGGTATACGCCACGTTGATGTTCGCTTTCTGCTTTGGGACTTTCGTATTTATACAAGCTCGTTTCGCATCTATACAAGCTCGTTTCAATCGAATCTCTGCGTCTCTCGATTCGCTTAAAAAGCCTCGTCTAGATCAGAGACCACAGATTGCCTTCCTCTTCATTGCCCGGAATCGACTCCCTCTCGAGTTTGTCTGGGATGCTTTCTTTAAGGTATATACTCTTCTCTTCCTCCTCCTCCTCTAATTGGGATCAGAAACACTGACTCTCGTATTTGAGCTTGGTCCATAATGACATGTGCTTCTGCAGGGTGAGGATGGAAAGTTCTCAATATATGTTCATTCTAGACCTGGATTTGTTCTCAACGAGGCTACAACGCGATCCAAGTACTTTTTGGATCGGCAACTTAATGACAGTATACAGGTTGCTGCTATGAGAATGTATCAATTTAGATATTAGCAGCATTGTTTTTTATAAGTCGTATGATTTATTTGCTAATTACAGGTAGATTGGGGTGAATCAACCATGATTGAAGCAGAACGTGTATTGCTTAGACATGCACTTAGAGATTCATTTAATCACCGCTTTGTTTTTCTTTCTGATAGGTGAGATTGATTCTGTTAATACCTTTTCATGTTTGGATTGTAGTTGATGACTTGCTTAACGAATTTTTTAGTTTTTTTGGTTTCTTCTCAGCTGCATACCTCTGTACAGTTTCAGCTACACGTATAACTACATCATGTCAACACCAACTAGTTTCGTTGATAGGTCCGTGCTGCTTATTTACATAACTCCATATTTCAACTTTGACACCAAATTACTAAATATTTTTCTGTATTGCAGCTTTGCAGATACAAAAGATAGCCGTTATAATCCTAGAATGAATCCCATTATTCCTGTTCGTAACTGGAGAAAAGGATCACAGGTGAAGTTCCAAATCACTTGTTGTGTAAAATGTGTTTCTGAATGACTACGAATTCTGTCATTCTGAATGTGTGCAGTTAAGCTGACAATATTATCTGCTATGTTTTCTTTACCCCATTGTCTTCTCTAAGTGGGTCGTTCTGAATAGAAAACACGCAGAAATTGTGGTGAATGATACCTCTGTCTTTCCTATGTTTCAGCAGCATTGCAGGGTAAGTTGTTAAAACCTTCACTTCATTAGCAAGTTTGGTAATACTGTAACTGAACTTATGAGCTGTCCTCTATAGTGTGATACTGTAAAGAGGGATATATGCTTTTTGTTTTAACTCATTAATTTTCAAAGGAAAGATGGTTTAGCTGCCAAGAGAGACTTAGAAGTTAGAACCACTGATTTTAGATTTTAGTGTCTTATTGTGAGAGTTGCTTTGTTAGTGGACTCTTCACTGTTGGCTCACTTTTTTTTTTTGCATATGATCTTGCAGAGAAAATCACTTCCAGAGTTTTGGCGAGATCGTCCTGTAGTAAGTTGCTTTTCTCTGGTCACATATTTAACTACCGCACCGTATTAAGTTATTAACAGTTCCTCCTTGCCCGTTAGCTCATGCCCATTCGATTCCTACATGTTTTACTCTGTAGAATCTGGCAGGCATTTACAGTTTGATGACCAGGACACGATGTGTTGTACTAATGTAATCTTATTGTGTAGCCAGCTGAAGGTTGGAAGGAACACAACTGTATACCTGATGAGCACTATGTTCAGACATTGCTATCTGTAAGATCAATGTTTGATCCAACCATGTGAATTGTTGTTTAGAAATAAATAGTATTACTAATCAAATCTGGTAATGCTTCTTCAAATTTCAGCAAAAGGGTGTAGATAGCGAACTCACACGAAGATCACTGACACACTCAGCTTGGGACCTTTCATCCTCGAAAAGTAATGAACGTCGTGGATGGCATCCTATGACTTACAAGTTTTCTGATGCTACTCCTGATCTTATACAGTCCATTAAGGTAAGCATCCGTAAGACCAACATTTTATTTGGTAGAAATGAAACTATCCATTACAATGTATGTATCTCTTTTTCTTTTTTTCTTGCCATGGCTTTAGCCCTCTTACAAACTTAAAACATAAATAGAATCTCTAACTAAACACATTGATTCTCAGGGAATCGACAATATCAACTACGAGACTGAATACCGGCGAGAATGGTGTAGCAGTAAAGGGAAACCATCACCGTGCTTCCTCTTCGCCAGGAAGTTCACTCGTCCCGCCGCTCTCCGCCTACTCCGTGAAGTAAACTTTTCTTTGACTATCATAGCTTAAACTAAGAAACTAACATCACAAACATTTTGATGAACTCATTGTGGGTTTCTTTACTTCCTCTATTTCTTTGGCAGACTATCTTGTTAGAGGGCAAAGAGCATGACAATAAGTAGATCCTTCACCATTTAAAGCATATATTACACATAGGTACGTAAGATAACCAAGAGTTACTATGTTTGTACAATTGTACTACTGTGATTTCATTTCATCTGTAATACTTACGATGACGAATTTACATAGAAACTTACACCATTTGGTAAATGAGTAAAAGCCAGCCTTGATAAAAGATGGACGGTAGAGAAAGAGCTCAGCAGGGGTGACCTGAGAACACATGAAAACGAGAGCTGTAACAATGACGTAGCGTCATTACAGCCGTTGATTACTCGTGTGTTCTCATATCAACCCTGTCGAGATCCACTACCTTCATGATATATTGATATCTTCTTGTTATTACATTTTGAGTTTTGGTTTGTCTCAAACATGCTGGAAACTATAAATACACAGACAATGAATGGATTGGGTAGTACACAATAACACCACAACAATTGTGTAGTACACGAGCAAGTTATGTGGCATTCATTATGTTTGGGATAGTACAAGAAAAAACTTCGGACATGTGTACTGCAAACTTGATTAAAAGAAGAAAATCATCATCATTGTACTTTTCTGAAAGTACAACGGCGAGTTTTGTACTAGCAGAATTTCCGAACTTTCTATGGTAGTATTAAAATTTCTCTATGGTCCCTAGTCCCCATATTCTAAATTTAGATCAAAGTGGCCTCACAATTACGAAAAGTGGGGCAAAGTTACAAAAGCCCATATTAGCAATTTTGTTTAATAACTTGCATGGAGAGTGGGGAAAAGTAATAAAAGCCCATATTCTTTGTGACAAAAGAGAGCGCGTAAATTTTGCATATATTGGTTTTAGTCCCACATCGTAAACACAGAGAGAAGAATAACAAACTCAAGGCATATATAAAACGGAGAGAGCTCTCGAAGAAAATTCACGGAGCCGTGCAATAAGCACATAGCGAACTATTCTTTCGCCTTTTACTAAAGAATACCGTGTGCTTGTCGTACCAAGCGGCATACGCCTATTTTTGGAGGGTTGTCTCTTACTGAGATTAACTCTATCAATCAATAACTTGAAAATTTTCTCAATAAATTAATTTTCCTCAACATTCAATCTTTAATCTTTAAACGTATTCCTCAATAAATGACTTACGAGTAACTTTCCATCAAGTGTTCAGCTTAAACAAGTCCCACATCGGAAGTGTATTTGCAAACCAAAGGCAAAGTTTTGCTATAAAAAGGATCACGATTTACTTACCTAAGCATACCTTTCTCGGCCTTTTGGCTAAGATCAAGTGTAGTATCTGTTCTTATCAGTTTAATATCTGATATGTGGACCATCGGTTCACACGATATTAACTCAATTTATTGAGGGAGTGAGCCATCAAAATAGCTTGCTATTTGTGCTCACACTATTGCAAGGGATTGGCGTATCCCACCAATCACAGTGTAAAGACTTTTGAGTTAGTCATGTTTTAAGTTGTTCTCAAAGTCGTAACTGCAGTAAAATCCTGCTGGTTCTTCTTTTGTCCCTCCATCGAGTTGTGTTTGAGATTTCATCGTTGCAGAAAGTAAATAGTTATGGGCCAATTTAAGTTAGTAGGCCCAACTGGCTTCAGCAATTAGTTGAAATGCTGACTTAGAAAAAGCAACAAGACCGATGAAAAATGATGACATTATTTCATCAGGAAGTTAGAAAATCATATAAAATCGAAATCAAGGGAGACTAAAAAAATTATATAATGCAATCTTTCGATCTAATAAAATCGGCCCTGTTCTCGGATAAGCAGATAATGGATCTCATGAACGACAACAGCAACAATTCACAAGACGGCGATCATCAGAACTACCGTGTCGGCGATAATGGATTGGAATCGAAGAAGGAAGCTATCTTCCCTAGCTATGATTTCCAACCTATGCGCCCTAATGCCTCCGCCGGATTGTCTCACCACGCTTTAGATCTCGCCGGATCTGTTAATTCCACGGCTGCTAGGGTTTGGGATGCGTCTGATCCTAAACCGGTTTCAGCTTCTTCCGCAAGAGTAATATTTCTAAGTTCTCCTATATCTCCCGGTCTTTGTGATTTGCGATCAATCTAGCTTCGTTTGTTGGCTTCACTAGTTAATCACGATTTTACGTTATTTGGCTTATTAGAATCGGTTCTTAAGGTTTCTTTAGGTTTAGAAGATATGTACTAGTTCTGGTTCTTGTTCCCAAGCTCGGCTCTGTGTTATTCTTCACTGTGCTTACATTTATCATCGTGTGAAGTTGAAAGCAGAGACTTTGTGTAACAACGATCATTTGCTTATCTGTTTTCTACATTATAATGTTTGCTTAAACCTTGCTTGATGCTTGCATGGTTAGGATTATGACAATTATCACACTTAGCCTTACTTGTTGCATTTGTTCGTTCTTTCAGAGTTATGGCTCTATGGACTCTCTCGAACCTTCAAAGTTGTTTGCTGAGAAGGATCGAAATTCCCCCGAGTCAGCGATTATATCTGCGATCGATCGGACAATGAAGGCCCATGCTGATAAATTGTTACATGTTATGGAAGGTGTCAGTGCACGTCTAACGCAGCTGGAGAGCAGAACCCGAGATCTCGAGAATTTGGTTGATGATGTGAAAGTTTCTGTTGGGAACAGTCATGGAAAAACTGATGGTAAATTGAGACAGCTTGAAAACATCATGTTAGAGGTACTCTACTCTTTTGGGATACCTAATGGAGATTAATTTGAAATTAGAAATAATCACATGAATCTGAGATACTAGACAAACGTTCTTCTCTGCCTTTTGGTTTTGGATGCCATTTCTTGACTGGCCTGGGAATTCTTGATCTGTTAACGTCAAACAAGTTTCTGGTTTCATATTTTTCATGTTTCAATGCATCTGAGCTTTCATACTTTTCGCTATATCATCTATCAAGATCCTAGATTCCTCAGTTCCTTCTTTGTATGATTGCATTCAGGTGCAAAACGGTGTACAGTTGTTGAAGGACAAACAAGAAATAGTTGAGGCGCAGCTTCAACTTTCAAAGCTCCAGTTATCAAAGGTAAACCAGCAGCCGGAGACACACTCTACACATGTTGAACCCACTGCTCAGCCGCCTGCATCTCTGCCTCAGCCACCAGCTTCTGCTGCAGCTCCCCCGTCTCTTACTCAGCAGGGCCTCCCACCACAACAATTTATCCAACCGCCTGCCTCACAGCACGGTCTCTCACCACCTTCATTACAACTGCCTCAGCTTCCTAACCAGTTCTCTCCCCAACAAGAGCCTTATTTCCCTCCGTCTGGTCAGTCCCAGCCACCTCCAACAATCCAGCCTCCTTATCAACCTCCTCCACCAACCCAGTCATTGCATCAACCCCCTTACCAGCCACCTCCTCAACAGCCACAATACCCGCAACAGCCGCCTCCTCAGCTCCAACACCCGTCAGGCTACAACCCGGAGGAACCACCTTACCCTCAGCAATCTTACCCGCCAAACCCTCCTCGTCAACCACCTTCTCATCCACCTCCAGGTTCTGCCCCATCTCAACAGTACTACAACGCTCCTCCAACGCCACCATCAATGTATGATGGACCAGGCGGCAGATCCAATTCAGGTTTTCCTTCCGGATATTCTCCTGAATCATACCCGTATACCGGGCCACCTTCACAGTATGGAAACACCCCATCTGTGAAACCCACACATCAGAGTGGAAGTGGATCTGGTGCCTACCCACAGCTCCCAATGGCACGCCCACTACCACAAGGTTTACCAATGGCATCAGCCATCAGCAGCGGTGGAAGTGGTGGTGGCTCAGATTCCCCAAGATCAGGAAACAGAGCCCCAGTCGATGATGTCATTGACAAAGTGGTTAGCATGGGGTTCCCAAGGGACCAAGTGAGAGGAACAGTGAGAACATTGACAGAGAACGGTCAAGCTGTTGACCTCAATGTTGTTTTAGATAAGCTGATGAATGGAGATAGAGGAGCTATGATGCAGCAGCAGCAGCAGCAACCGCCAAGAGGTTGGTTTGGTGGTCGTTAGCTGTGTTGTCTCTAATTCCGGTTTGGCTGACATTGTATAGTCTTTTATCTCTCATGTCAGATTTCCTCGAACATATCTTTTGGATTACCTTGGTGTTTCATTTGTGACTTCAATATTTTTTCAAAGCTTTCCATGTATGTTTGAAACTTGAAGCTTCGATCATTTATTTTTTTCTGTGTTTCATTCATTTGCCTATTTGACTCTTAGAAAATCACAGACCAGTGAGTGTAACAAAGTCGCAGTGTACAGGCTCTCTTTCCTAATCCAAAACGACATGTAGTTTTTATGACTAGAACTGAACGACAAGATGTTTTTCTTTTGTTATCCCAATTCTTAAAACTAAACGGCGGCGTTTAGTAACCCGCGAAACCCACTAAACTCTTTAGTTCTCTCTCTCGTTCCCTTGCCCCTCTCTCTCTCTCGTCCTCGGATTTTTCTCGTGCTTCACTGATAATCCAGCTTGACGATGTCGTTGACGGAGCTAGACGACGGACTGGTTCGCAGGATGGCCATGGGCGCAGTCTTCTCTGATTTTGTACGAACGAATTTTTCTCTTTTTGTAATCTCATTTGATTTCGGATTAAACTTTGGTGGAATCCAGCTTCCGAGATTAATCCGTTCAATTTCTCGGTGTTGGTTTTACACAGGGAGGGAAGATACATTCGGTGGGTTTCCATAGGACTGATGATCTATTGGTCACATCCAGCGAAGATGATTCACTTCGCCTCTTCGATATCGCCAACGCTAAGTCAGTTCTTCCTTCCTGTTTTTAGGTTTTATACTTATCTGGTCAAGTTCTAGAGAAACTAGGTTACTTAAGGAATTAAGAAGAAGCTTTTTGATTAACCGATTAGTTGAAATTCTTGTGGAGCAAAAAGAAGACTGAAATATTCAATTTGTATGGATGTTTGTTAGACAGCTGAAGATTACATACCATAAGAAACATGGCACCGATCGTGTATGCTTTACCCATCATCCTAGCTCTCTAATTTGCTCTTCTCGATACAATTTGGAGTCCACTGGTGGTGAGTCCTCCTTTTCTCTTGCTTGAGATTGGATAATCAAAGCGGTGGTGGATTATTACTTACTTGTATACTTGTTTTTGTGTACCAGAATCCTTGAGATATCTCTCAATGTATGATAATCGGATCCTACGCTACTTTAAAGGGCATAAAGACAGGTCTGCTTATAACCTCTGGAATTGTGAATTTGGATTTTACTAGTATGTACATTGATGATGGAAAATGTTCTTCTGTTTCAGGGTTGTATCACTTTGTATGTCTCCTATAAATGATAGCTTCATGTCTGGTT